ATTAAATGCCACCAAAAGAAAGCGCTGTCTCAAAAAAATGATAAAAATTTCATATGAGTACAATGTTGCTTGACCGTGCAATTGTCATTCAAAGTGCGACAGCACTGAAAATTGGCCTGGGCAGGAAGAGGGTATAAGTGCCCTGTAGGCAAGTGGTTAAAGGCTTACCTGTAGGTAAAAGATACAAAATTGGGTTTACGCTACACTTTATTCATCTTTAAGGTAGGTATATGATTGATATGACAATCCTATAACCATATAGGTTTTATCAGTGCAACTCTGATACATTCGCATCTTTAATTACAGCCAAGCACATTCAATCATATCTGCCAACTATAAAATTGGGAGGGGGGAGGAGACCAGTCATTGGCAAGTAATGGGCAATGAGGCCGTGAAACCTTTGGACAATATTCACCCCATGCACATTCAGCCTTATATTTTGTTCATGTTCCATTCTGTTGTTGGCTCATTACTTGATATACTTGCTTGTTGGCACTATGAAATTCTTTTCAGCAGTATCAGCACAGATTTCAGAAATGTTATTCTTTCAAGTATGGGATTTATGAAAACATTCAGAACCTCCTTGTTTTACAGACTATTCAAACTTGTTTTAGATTAAAATGTATTTTGACAAATGCTATTAAGAACAAAGACCTGCAGGTTCCAGTGTTATGCTTCACTGAAGATGGCAAATATCATTCTCAGCCTTTTGTGAGTTGGGCAGGACAATAGAGAAATCATTGTAATTACTTGTACTGTTGTGGAAGTGTAGAGCGATTTTAAATTTGTATTTTTCGGGGCACTCTTAGAAGTATTAATACAGGACTTTTCAAAAGCCACAGAGATTATATGCATTTTTTTAATTGTTAAGTTACTTCCTTAATTGGAGGTAGACAAATTTCTATAGCCCACAGGTGTCAAACTTGCAGCCCTCCAGCTGTTGCCAAACTACAAGTCTAATGAGGCATTGCAAGATTGACAGTTACAAGCAAGAGGCATGATGGGACTTGTAGTTTTGCAACAGCTGGAGGGCCGCCAGTTTGACACCCCTGCATAGCCCAACGGATAGGATAATCTAGTAATAGCAATTCTGAGGTGCCAAGATAATGTGCTCCTGTTGACATCAGTAGAACAGACTCCTAAAGGTTAGATGGCAACTGTACATTTTGTAAACACATTGGCTGCCTGCCTACTTTCTGTCTGTTTTAACACTCTCAGGACGCAATTTCTAGTCGCCCTGGTGCCTGAGATTTGTCGAGCCCTGGTAATCCTTTGTTCATTAAAAATCAGCCATTGAGTCGATCATACACCTGTTAGTTTTGTTGGACAAACTCCTTTTAAAGTGAAAGTCAAAATCTAACTAAGCTTGCATCTACTCCCACCCTCATTCTAAACCTATTCCATCTACCCTGTAAAGGAAAGATGTCCATACACCTATTCTGAAGGCGTTCCAGTCTGGTTAGGTGATCAGCTCCTAGTGGCCGGCTTCAGTTTTTAGAGGAGGGACAGCCGACAACGGATGCCCCATAGTAAGCCTTATAGGTAATGTCATCACACAGGCTCTGCAGCCGTTGTTGACAATTTCTCCTCTTCACTGAAGCCGGTGCTGGAGTGATCATGTGAGCGGACTGGAGCAATTTCAGAATAGGCAAGTATAGACCTCTTTCGTTTTACAGACCAGACAGAATAGGCTGAGAATGGGTGTGGGAGTAGATTTGGGCTTAGTTAGTAGATTTAAAGAGGAAAGCAAGACAAAACCTAACAATTAGGTGGTGCAAAGGCCTGGCTAATTGCATACAGATTGAATGGATTGTTAAGGTAAACTCTCATGTTACAAAGTGTGTTTTTTTTTTTTTTGTTTTTTTTTTTTTTTTTTTATAAATCTGAAGTTGTACAATCCTATTGTAACCTGTATGGTGAGCTCAAAATTTATACTTCTAGTTTTATTTATCCACTTGAGTTCTGGAAGCTTTTACCCCCTTCATGACCAGGCCATTTTTTGCTTTTTGGCACTGTGCTACTTTAACTGGCAATTGCTAGGTCATGCAACACAAGTGAAATGTACACTCACCGACCACTCTTTTACGTACACCTTGCTAGTACTGGGTTGGACCCCTTTTGCCTTCAGAACTGCCTTAATTCTTTGTGGCATAGATTCAACAAGGTTTTGGAAACATTCCTCAGATTTTGGTCCATTGATGATATAGCATCACGCAGTTGCTGCAGATTTGTCGTCTGCACACCCATGATGCAAATCTCCGGTTCCACCACATCCCAAAGGTGCTCTGGTGACTGTGGAGGCCATTGGAGTACAGTGAACTCATTGTCATGTTCAAGAAACCAATTTGAGATGATTTGAGCTTTGTGACATGGTGCATTTTCCTGCTGGAAGTAGCCATCAGAAGATGGGCACACTGTACCATAAAGGGACGGACATGGTCAGGTAGGCCGTGGCATTTAAACAATGCTCAATTAGTACCAAGCAGCCCAAAGTGTGCCATGAAGATATCCTCCACAACATTACACTACCACCACCAGCCTGAGCCACTGATACAAAGTAGGATGGATCCATGCTTTCATGTTTACACTGAATTCTGACCCTACCATCTGAATGTTGCAGCTGAAATTGAGATTCATCAGACCAGGCAACATTTTTTCCAATCTTCTATTGTCCAATTTTGGTGAGCCTGTGCGAATTGTAGCCTCCGTTTCCTGTTCTTAGCTGACAGGAGTGGTGCCTGGTGTGGTCCATCTGCTTCAAGGTTCGACATGTGTTTTCAGAGAAGGTATTCTGCATACTTTGGTTGTAACGAGTGGTTAGTTGAGTTACTGTTGCCTTTCTATCATCTTGAACCAGTCTGCCCATTCTCCTCTGGACTCTGACATCAACAGCCAAACAAACCACACAGCTGCTGCTAGATATTTTCTCTTTTTCAGACCATTCTCTGTAAATCCTAGAGATGGTTGTGCATGAAAATTTTAGTAGATCTGAGTACAGGCAGTCCCCGAGTTAAGTACATTCGGCTTACGTAATACTCATACTTACGTACACTTCCCTCGGGACCGGAAGTCAAGCTGTCAGCATTCTTGTGCAGCAAGCTGATAAGAGACTAGCTGATAAGAGACATCAGAGAGACATAAGAGACAGAGACATCCATTGCTCGTTACTTGTGGGGCTAGCAGTGTCTGCCCACTATCTCCAAAGTGATTTAAGACTGTCTGTCTGCACCTCCGGGGAGAGGAAAGGAGAGGCTGTCAGGCTGCTCACTGAAGTGATCCTCCGTCTGTGCAGGGGGGAGGGGGCAGCGTGTGCTGTGTAAAGGAGAGCAGAGTTCTCTCATACAGTACATTACAGTACATGTATTTTTACCCTGCAATAATGCCTCCAAAGCAAAAAGCTGATGCAAGTGCTGGCACAGCAAAGAAAAGAAAAAACAATCTCCTTGGAAGATAAAGTAGAAATAATAAAGAGATCAGAGAGTGGTGAAAAATCATCATCCATTTGCAAAGCATATGGTTATGCTCCGTCAACAATTTCAACAATTTTAAAAGATAAGAGTAGAATAATGGAGCATGTAAAATGTAAAACATAAAAAAGTTAAATATGTTAAGGCAAACATGTGTCCAAGCTGCAGTTCTTATGCAAAACACCAGTTTAGAGCCTCTTGAGGTTTTACTGCTTTCTGTAACCTTATTACAAAAACGTAATCTAATATCCTGTCGTTTGGTTAGTAGTTAGTGCTTATAAAAGTGCCTGATTCAACTTATGAACAAATTCGACTTATGAACAAACCTACAGTCCCTATCTTGTACGTAACCCGGGGACTGCCTGTATTTCAAAAACTGCTGACCAGCCCTTCTGGCAACAACCATCAAAAATCACGTTAAATCCACATTCAAAATCACTTAAATCCCCTTTCTTCCCTATTCTGGTGTTTTGGTTTGAACTTCAGCAAGTAGTCTTCACCACATCTAGATGGCTAAATGTATTCAGTGGCTGCCATGTGATTGACTGTTTAGCAATTTGTGTTACCAAGCAATTGAACAGGTGTACCTAATAAAGTGGCTGGTGAGTGTATATTTTTTCACACAGAGCGCTTTCTTTTGGTGTTATTAACCCATGGGTTTTTAATTTTTATTATGTAAATGAAACCTTTTGAAAAAAATGTGTATTTTCTGCTTTATGTTCTAAAACCTATCCAATAAAAAAATTTAAAATCAAATTTCATCATGAATTTTGGCCAAAATGTATCCTGCTGCATGTCTTTGGTAAAGAAAAAAAAAATCCCAATAAGCATATTTTAATTGGTTCGTGTGTAAGTTAGAGTCACAAACTATGGTGTGTGTGTATGGATATGTATGTATGTGTGTGTGTGTGTATGTGTGTGTGTGTGTATATGTATGTGTGTGTGTGTATATGTATGTGTGTGTGTGTATATGTATGTGTGTGTGTGTATATGTATGTATGTGTGTGTATATGTATGTATATGTATGTATGTGTGTGTGTGTATGTATATGTATATGTGTATGTATATATATGTGTGTGTGTGTGTGTGTGTGTGTGTGTGTGTGTATATATATATAATTTGAAAATGTAATCAATCCTTAAGTTCTGACAGGCTATCATTTCTTGAGGCCCTTAACCCCTTCACGCCTAAGGGTAAAACGAATCTTAATGCCGAAGCACAATTTTGCAACGTTGACATGTGTTAGTAAAACCGTATACCGTATTTTTCGCTCCATAAGACGCACCTGACCATAAGACGCACCTAGGTTTTAGAGGTGAAAAACAAGAAAAAAAAATATTCTGAACCAATGGACTGCAGACACAGTACAGGGGATGACCAGAGACTGCGGACACAGTACAGGAGATGACCAGAGACTGCGGACAAAGTACAGGGGATGACCAGAGACTGCGGACATAGTACAGGAGATGACCAGAGACTGCGGACATAGTACAGGAGATGACCAGAGACTGCGGACATAGTACAGGAGATGACCAGAGACTGCGGACATAGTACAGGAGATGACCAGAGACTGCGGACATAGTACAGGAGATGACCAGAGACTGCGGACATAGTACAGGAGATGACCAGAGACTGCGGACACAGTACAGGAGATGACCAGAGACTGCGGACACAGTACAGGGGATGACCAGAGACTGCGGACACAGTACAGGGGATGACCAGAGACTGCGGACACAGTACAGGAGATGACCAGAGACTGCGGACAAAGTACAGGGGAGACCTGAGACTGCGGACACAGTACAGGAGATGACCAGAGACTGCGGACACAGTGCAGGGAATGACCAGAGACTGCGGACACAGTGCAGGGAATGACCAGAGACTGCGGACACAGTGCAGGGAATGACCAGAGACTGCGGACACAGTGCAGGGATGACCAGAGACTGCGGACAGTGCAGGGAATGACCAGAGACTGCAGACAGTGCAGGGAATGACCAGAGACTGCAGACAGTGCAGGGGATGACCAGAGACTGCAGACAGTGCAGGGGATGACCAGAGACTGCAGACAGTGCAGGGGATGACCAGAGACTGCGGACACAGTACAGGGGATGACCAGAGACTGCGGACACAGTACAGGGGATGACCAGAGACTGCGGACACAGTACAGGGGATGACCAGAGACTGCGGACACAGTACAGGAGATGACCAGAGACTGCGGACAAAGTACAGGGGATGACCAGAGACTGCAGACAGTGCAGGGGATGACCAGAGACTGCAGACAGTGCAGGGGATGACCAGAGACTGCAGACAGTGCAGGGGATGACCAGAGACTGCAGACAGTGAAGGGGATGACCAGAGACTGCTGACCTTTGGGGAGGGAGGGGGAGCGGGTACCTGAATTTGACAGGTACCCGCTCCCACTTCCGCGGAGTTGCCTTCCCTCTTCTTCCCGGGCCGGCTTCTGTGACAGCCGGGTGCCCACTGCGCAGGTGCGAGAAGCGCTTCGCTTTGTGAATGGGCCGGCGCCTTCTGGGACCTTTCATGTGTCCCAGAAGACACCGGATCATTCACAAAGCGCAGCACATGCGCAGTGGGCACCCGACTGTCACAGAAGCCAGCGCGGGAAGACTGTGCAGCGCTGGAGTGAGGAACAGGTAAGGCCCTGCAGGAGACAACAGCTGAGCGGCCGGCCCGGTATTCTGACATGGTGGCCGCAAAAATACCGGACCGGTCGCTTTATATTCGCTCCATAAGACGCACTGACATTTTCCCCCCTTTTTGGGGGGGAAAAAAGTGCGTCTTATGGTGCGAAAAATACGGTATATCATCACAACTACTTTGTACATCCAGGTGAATTATACCTTGTTTTTTTCAGGACAAATTGGACTTTCATTTGGTGGTAAATGGTAATGGATATCTCCTGATAGATATAGATAGATATAGATATATATATATATATATATATATATATATATATATTTTTTTTTATTATTATCAAAGGAAAACTGGCCAAGAATAGTAAAAAATTAATAAAATAATATATATATATATATATATATATATATATTTTACACCGTATTTTTCGCTCCATAAGACGCACTTTTTTTTCCCCCAAAAAAAAGGGGGAAAATGTCAGTGCGTCTTATGGAGCGGCCGGTCCGGTATTTCCACCGCCGCCGTGTCAGAATACCGGGCCGGCCGCTCAGCTCTGCAGCGGGACCTTATGGAGATGACTGCTGACCTTTGGGGAGGGGGGGAAGCGGGTACCTGAATTTGACAGGTACCCGCTCTTACTTCCTCGGAGTTGTTCTTTGACCTTACCTGTTCCTCTATCCAGCGGCGCGCTGTCTTCCTGGCTTCTGTAGTGTGGGCTCTGGGCATGACAGCCGGGTGCCAAGTGCGCATGCGCAAGAAGCGGTGCTTTTTGTGAATGGTAAGGCGGTACCTGACACATGACAGATCCCAGAAGCCGCTGGACCAATCACTAGGCGCAAGTGCTTCTCGCTCATGCGCACTGGGCACCCGGCTGTCATGCCGAGCGCCGACACTACAGAAGCCGGGAAGACAGCGTGGCAGGATAGAGGAACAGGTAAGATCAAAGAACAACTCCGCGGAAGTAAGAGCGGGTACCTGTCAAATTCAGGTACCCGCTCCCCCCCCCCCCCCCCTCCCCAAAGGTCAGCAGTCATCCCCTGTGCTGTCCGCAGTCTCTGGTCATCCCCTGTGCTGTCCGCAGTCTCTGGTCATCCCCTGTGCTGTCCGCAGTCTCTGGTCATCCCCTGTGCTGTCCGCAGTCTCTGGTCATCTCCTGTGCTATGTCTGAAGTCCATTAGTTCAGAATTTTTTTTTCCTGTTTTCTGCCTCTAAAACCTAGGTGCGTCTTATGGTCAGGTGCGTGTTATGGAGCGAAAAATACGATATATTATAATATATATATATATATATATATATATATATATATATATATATATATATATATATATATATATATTTTTTTTTTTTTTTTTTTAATTTAGCTGTGCGTTTCTTGTTACTACTATAACCTACCACCAAAGAACAACCCAAAATAAATGTTTCAGCTCTTGACGATCGCAGCGATACCATATATGTGTATGTTGTTTGTACCCGTAGTACAGCCTAGAACAGGGGTGGGCAAACTTTTTGACTTGAGGGCCGCAATGGGTTCATATATTGGACCCGGGGGCCGGACCAAGAGTAGATGAATGATGTGTATGTGTCATCCATAGTAAGTATAGTAATATTCCCCCATAGTAAGCATAGTAATTAATCCCCCATATAGTAATTCATCCCCCATAGTAATTCATCCCCCATATAGTAATTCGTCCCCCATATAGTAATTCGTCCCCCATATAGTAATTCGTCCCCCATATAGTAATTCGTCCCCCATAGTAATTCATCCCCCCTATAGTAATTCATCCCCCATAGTAATTCATCCCCCATATAGTAATTCATCCCCCATAGTAATTCATCCCCCACATAGTAATTCATCCCCCATATAGTAATTCATCCCCCATATAGTAAGTCCCCCATATAGTAATTCATTCCCCATATAGTAAGTCCCCCATATAGTAATTCATTCCCCATATAGTAAGTCCTCCATATAGTAATTAATTCCCCATATAGTAAGTCCCCCATATAGTAATTCATTCCCCATATAGTAAGTCCCCCATATAGTAATTCATTCCCCATATAGTAAGTCCTCCATATAGTAATTCATTCCCCATATAGTAAGTCCTCCATATAGTAATTCATTCCCATATAGTAAGTCCCCCATATAGTAATTCATCCCCCATATAGTAAGTCCCCCATATAGTAATTCATCCCCCATATAGTAAGTCCCCCATATAGTAATTCATCCCCCATATAGTAAGTCCCCCCCCTGTGTCAATTCACTTACCTTTGGTCCGCGCGTTCCTCTCGTATTCCCGCGCCGTTCTGGTCTTCAGGGAGGACTGTGAGAGGAGTTCGTCACGCTGCCCCGCCTACATCCTGGCTGCCCCGCCTACATCCTGACAGCTGCAGAGTCCTGACGTCCGAGAGGAGGGAGGGGGGCGGCCATCCGAGAGGGGGGGCGGCCATCCGAGAGGAGAGGAGGGGAGAGGAGGAGAGGAGGGAGGGGGAGAGGAGGGAGGGGAGCGGGCGCCCGGCACACAGGAGAGCCGCATCTAAATTTGTAAAGAGCCGCGGCTTGCCGACCACTGGCCTTGCGGGAGCCTAGCTCCGCGGGCCGGATTAAAAGGTCCGCCGGGCCGTATACGGCCCGCGGGCCGTAGTTTGCCCATTGCTGGCCTAGAAACAATAGTGCGCATTTCAAATGAAAAAAAAAAAAATCCTGACCTTGACCCAAACACTTACCCTGGCACTGCACTAGATCAAACCTTAATCTAGGTATTTTTTCTTTATTTTTTTTTTTTTTTCCCCTCCCCCTCTATGCCAAGAGTTAGAGAGATACAGTGTATCTTTCACCTCCATTCATAGAGAGGAAAAAAAAAACCAAGGGGGCCGGGCTGTACAGTGACTGATCACTGTGATAGCCAATAGGGGGCTATCACAGTGATCATGTGGCCCAGAATCGGGGGTCCCGTCATAAGAACAGGACCTGGGGCTCTCAGTGGCACCCTGGTCTTTTTGCTGGGAGCGTGCTGTGCGGCGCGTTCGCAGCACAAAGGCAGGTACGCAGATACGCGGCCCCACGTTAAAAAGCCCCGTTCTGTGAGGCCGCATATTTGTGTGACGTCAGCGTCAAGGGGTTAAAATGTCCACTCAGTACAAATACCCCCAAATTACCTTTTTTTTTTTTTTTTTTTTTTTTTTTTTTTTTTTTTTTTTTTTTTTTGAAAAGCAGACAGTGTGAGGTAATTAATAAAAGGCATGGCAAGTTTCTTTGAAGTTGTAATTTTTTTGGAAAATTAGGAAATAAAATTTTAGTTTTTTTTACAAATTTTTGTTTATAAAAATGTCACTAGTGCAGTACAGTGTCATCATATGACTAGTGTGGCAGTGATCAGGGATACTGACTGATGACAGAATGTGAGAGTGGGGGAGGATTTACAAAATTTTTATAATCTTTCTTCTTTCTTTTTTGTACTGATTATGCTGATTTATGAATGTAAATGACAGGTTGTTTACATTATTATATGTTGTTTTACATTATCACTTGTGCTAGCAGGGATCACATAATACTTGGTTACCGGTAACAGTGAGTGCTGTGTCCAGTGGACACAGCTGTCACAGGAGGGTTGCGCTGCATGATCCTAAACCTGAGCAGGCACAATCCCGTATATATATATATATATAAGTGACTGAACCTGCACTTACCACCCTACCACAGTAAATTGTACCTTGGCAAGGCAGCAAGTGGTTAAAATATAGGGCACCTACCCACTGCAAATGGCTCTGACCACACAATTGAAAATGGGTCCCCTTACATACTCTTTTCTGTAGGCCCATTCCACTTTTCTGTTGAGAGCAAGGAGGTTATGGTATCATATGGCTCGCTCCCCTTCTTTAAAGCGCTATTAAACCCAAAAGGAAACTTCTAGCTGTATCCGTTTTTACATGCAGGAGACCATCCATTTAAAGGATAAGTTCATCTTTTGTTACGTTACACCCATATTCAGGGTCTGACATGTTATGATCTGACCGGCCTCCGATCCCCCTTGTTCTTCCGCTATAACAGGTGGCGGGGGATCCTGATTCACAGCATTCTGTGAATGGGAAAACTACAAATCCCGGTAGCCTTTGCGGCTGTCGGTTTGTAGTTTTTCAATGAACTACCATGACACTCTGCAGCGCCGTGGTAGTTCATTGAGCCATCCTCTCAGGATCTGCTTGCTTGTACAAGATATACTGGGATTTGTTGAGCTCTGGCCTAGTGTATTACCTCAGACACCATTTTATTAATAAAAAATGTAAGAATACTCGACTGTTAAAATCATTAGCTTATGTCAAAGCTATTGGCAGAGTCTCTTAGCACCTCCTTAACCTGGATGACCAAGAAAGAAGACCTCCTTGGAGCTCAGCAACAAAATGCAAGTAGGCTGATGCATTTTGAGGGATAGACCCTCTTCCTTTGGAGCCCTGAGGAGGGCCTATACCTCAAA